TCGAATATTTGGTAGGCAAACGGTGTTTCATCCGGTAATGGAACCGACGAAAGAAACGATGCCTAAGCTAGAAATCATTAAACGTATCCAGAGACACGTTCTCGAGCATCGAATACGTATCCATGAGTTTTTCAAGGTTATTCTGATTAATCACGCATTTTACGGATGAATTAGCATTATTATAAATAAAATGTCGTACGCCCGTGATGCATTATCGCGTACAATGATTGGGTTTGACGTAGTCGCATCTTTGTATTTTATTTTACGGATGCGATACGGGATCGTAATAGCTTATCTGCAATTAGGGCCTAAGCGTTTTAACTTTCCACAGGATTTTGAATATCTGAATGACGGTAGAATGACCGTCTCGCAATTTCGAAGAGCGCTAGATACGCTTCAAATATCGTCCTTGGGTCGTTTATGTTTGGTCGAATCAGAAATCGACGCCCTGATCGCGCTTTATAAAGATCCGGATGATCCCAATCGCATGTGCTGGCGTACGTTCGAGGATGATGTAAATCATGGTACAATATCTCTCATATACATTATAATTAAATTTACAAAGTTTTCAATATCTTCAAATTGTTAATACTTCCTCTTTCTTTAATTATAATCGAAACTGCAGAATTATATGGCAACAAACAAAAAAATTTTTTTTTATAATATTTTTCAAAAATAAAAGAAGACCATATAGTTTTTTAAACAAGAAGTGTTAACTCACAACTTATATTTTAATCTCATATATTTTTCTTTACAGTCTTCACCGTAAAAGGACTTGACAAATTACCGAATCTTAGAGTGGAATCACCGCCCCAAGAAATAGCTGATCTATCTCGAAAAGGCATATCAAATTGGCAATGCGAGCCGAAGAGTATAAGAAATCTTTGCGAAGATGTCTTGCAGAGAGTAAGGCAGCGAGTTGAAGAGAGGAGGATTTTTTTAAAGCAGTTCTTCAAGGATTACGACCAGTATGTTTATCTTTGGATTATCGTTAATTAAATGGCTCATCTTGAGTCATAAAAGAACATAAAAAAATTTTATAAAGAACTTGTTTACTTTTTATTCTCAACACATAAGAGTATAAATTATATTAAAAAGTAAACAATAAATGCATAATTCCAAGTTATACTACTTTAATTTATATAATAAAATATATTTTTGAGAAGTAACCAAAGGAGTAGTATTTCACAAAAAAAGGTGTTTCAGAAATCGTTATATTAATTATTTTATTATATATAACGTTTTGCATTTATTTAATTAAAAGATATTATTTATGGTAAGAAAAAATTGTTACTCTCTAATTTAAACTAATTACATTAGACATAATCGCGGTCATGTAACGCGAGCACAATTACGGCAAGTGCTTATTACGACGACTATACTATTATCTCCGGAGCAAGTGTTTGCACTGGAGCAAAGATATAACAACGATTTGGGATTCAACTACACTCAATTCCTACAGGAATTAGAATCCCAACCGATTGCAGAACCTTTATATCTTCAGATATTGGAAGATAAAAAAAGAATCAACGCTGAGAAACCACCGTCTGAACCTCATGAGGACGAAACTAATATCGTATTGATTTTAGCTAAAGTTAAGGCTAAAGTCGTGCGCGAAAGAATCAAAGTAATTTATAACAGTAATATATCCTTATCATTAATTGATTGATGAAAGAACTGCAATTATAATTAATTCAACAAACTATACATAGGTACTGGAATTCATGCGCCAATTCGATAGACACAATCATCTTGTCATTGAAAGGCCAGATTTTATCAGGGGTCTGGATCAACTTCGCTGCAGTTTGACACCTGCGGAAGTAGATACCATTACGAAGGCTTTTCAGGCCTCTGCAAAGTACGAAACATTATAATTTTAACATTGAAAATTAGGATTGTTAATTGCAAAATATAGAAAGAGGAGATGGATGATGATTTTGACCCGTCGAAATTTTAATCCGATTTTTTATTTTCCGAATTTTCATTATTTATCTTCTTTGTGTATTGTTTCATACAAGATTGTTTGAATTTTCGTTGGTATTACGATTTAAGAAAAAAAATATTTTTTTCTTTGCATTCATAATCTTATTATCATTCTGTTTCTTCCCGAAGACCTCATGTCATCGAATATGTGAAGTTCGCGAAAATTGTGGAGGAAGCGGTTGCGACAGGAGGTTTGGAAAAAGTCCCGCTTTTAGTTCCCTTGCAACACGTGCCTTCTGAGGCGAGTGATAAGACCTTTTTGAATTTTGACGAGCGACAGACGGTAGCAATTGCGATAGATAAATTATGTAAAGTACCAAGTCCGAATCTGGAGGAACTCTTCAAAGTTAGTATAGAAAGCTATGTATATACACGGTACAATATTTATTTATTATTTAAATTTTATTTTTCTTGTAAAGGAAAGGAAGAGACATTTTATAAATATATATCTTTTTAGGATTATGATAAGGAGAATATCGGCACCGTGTCCAAGGATCGCTTGATTAAGGCATTGTCGGTTAGACGAATGTTAGAGCTTATAACCAACAAAGAATTGGATGCCGTACATAAGTGCTTCTCCATTGAGAGAGGTGGTCGCCTGGAAATTGACTATCGAGGCTTCCTGCGCGCTTTACACCTGTCACAAGAAAACAAAAAGGCCGTGCTCTTTTAAAAAGACGCGGCTTATCCTACAAGTACAAAAACTGAGACTGTTTCTCTCTTCTATTATCTTGTGCTATATTGCAGTGAAATTGTCGCAAATTAATGCAATTGTAACAAACGATGTTATAAGTCTCGCCTATTTTTACATAATAATGTATAATATTGCTTTGAATTGAATTATCGGCGTCAATTTTGTAGAGAAAATGTGCAATTTCCAATCTAATGTATATTTATATTTGTCTTCTAGTGTAAATAAGTATTTATGTATCACGTGGAGATAAATATCTGTTGCCTAATTTTCGCAACATTTTTTATACATGAATTTTGTAGTATTTTTACATATTTAGATTTTTGAGGCATGATGTCGTGGAAAATATATCTTTAAACAACTAAATATCTTTTTTAGAATTTTGATATGTGATTACTTGTAATTGATTTGGTTATTTGATCAGGTTCTTAATTGAATAATGATGTAACGATTTAAAGAATTAAATTCAGAGAATTAAGCAGGATTTTCGTGAAATATAATTTGTATACGATGTTTCCAAATTATTATATTTACAGGTCTTTCTCTTCGTTCAACATGCGCGTTTTGTGTCCAATTTAATATTATACTTATTATAAAACAGACGAAAGATCTTTTCGTCTAAATAGGACACTGTCGTAAGAGTGTGTTTTGCTTACATGATTTATAAAACTCGTCGAACCAGCTCTCTTCCGAGAAGGAGAGCTTCTTTTTTTCACTCGCTGGTTTAATGTACCGATCTTTGGCCCTCGTATAAATTCATCCGAGTTTAAAACTTGCTTCCTGGATCCAAGTTGGGAGGAATATAAGAAGGATAGACGCCGTATAGATCGTGGTAATCTTGATCTTCGATTATCTACCGTAACGTCAAGCAAGGTAAGATCTTTTAAATAGCTAGTTTGATTATTTGATTGCCCGTTCAAAACAGAAATTTTCTTAGAAATAAAATAATTTTAATAATAATCTTTTTAAAATTTGTTTAAATGTTTAAAATTTTTTTTGAGACATTTAAAACTATTAACTATTTAATGAGTCTAGTATTAAAATCTGACAACTTTATAAGATATATATACATATAATAATATAAAACATTTTATATTATTTAATAAAAATTTTTTGCAAAAAGATATATATTATTTTATATTGTGATTCAAGTAAGTCACTAAAATTTTAGTTACATAAATGCAAACTAAAAAAAATCTATGTCTCCTAACAAACTGTTCCTACCAAGAATTTTTCAGATTATATAATAATATTAAAGATTCTTGAAAATATAAGTGAAGGTAGTAGAAGTGTTAAAATTGTTTTTATAATTTAATTAAATTTATCAGTATTTTGTTATCTTAAATCAACATGCGCTCGCAATAGACATTTTATGTAATGCAACTATTACAAAATTTATATCCATTATAAATAATTTATTTAATTAAATTAAGAACAAAAAATTTTGTTAATATTTTTACATTAGGAAAAAATGGTGATAATTTACATTATTACATAATACATAACTGTACTTTAAAATTAACACTATACCAACCATTACATTACCACCTTATTCTCCTAAATTGTTTTCTCGGATGCTAATAGATGGCACCATCGATACAATCTTGTAAAACAAAGTATTCAATTCCCTTTTATACAATTTAAAAAAATCGTATTCGATACGGAAAGTTTCTAAATGCATTAATAATTATTTCTTAGAATTTCGTATTAGCCAATTAATTAATCAATATTTTTAACTAATGTTGTTAAAATAAATATTTTTTGTTTCTTGTCTTTAATTAATATTTAAAAATTGATCTACGTTTAACTTATAATGATGATTTAATTTTTGTTAATTTTTTAAACTGGATTTCTACTTATGCAAATTGAATAAAAATCAAGTTTATTAGAATGTCTTGACCATGTACAACACTTACATGGCATATTCGCGAAGCGAATAAAACTAACAAATATGATGTTAATATAGCAAGCACGCTTGTATTTTAAGTACCGATTGCAGCATCCATTTTAAAGAAGTAGGAGCGGCTACCTTTTAAATGACAGAAATTGTCGAAGCACGTGTATTAGCTTTACCAACACGTACACATTTTGCTGGCAAAGAATAATTTAGGCAGGTAGAAAGTTTAGGTTTACCTCATGCTACACGCTTTTTACCAGAGATTAGAATACTAAGAAAAAATATAACAGAGTCGCTATTAGCGCTTGATTGGATAACAAAATAGAACATTTTTTGATCTGTATATATTCATATATCGGAGATAAAATATTATATGTCATTGATTGTCAGCTAGAACAAAAAAAATACTTGATTGCAGAAAACAAGAAAATGAAGTACATCGCTTTGCTTTGCCTGATCGTCGCTTTCGTCATCGCTGGACCACCGTTTCCATTATCCGACGATAACTTGTCTCCTCAATGTCAAATTCCGAAATGTCCAGCCAAAGCTAACGATGGCGCGCCGATCACTTTGCCCTATCCCTTAGATTGCCTGCAATACATCATCTGCGAAGAATCCGGTCCACGCACCGTCGCATGTCCAGCAGATTTGGTCTTTAATAAGGTAAGCGTCAAAGTCTTTTTTACAATTACTTGAAACTTTAGAAAATGGAAGCTAGTTGATGGAAAGTATTTCATCATGCTACAAAAAATATATAGAGGAAGGATATATAAAATAGAGGACAAATGTTAAAATAAAACAAAATTTTATATTTTTTATATTTTTAATTAAAATTTTTTTGATTTTTAGAAATGTTCTTATTCACTTCTAAAATATGCATTTATTAAATACATATTTATTAAATATATATTCACATACTTGTAAAATACGTGTTCGAAATGAAATTTCAGAATATATATGCCACATTATAATCGTTTGCAGTTTCAAATTATTATTTAAGAATGCGATATTTATTTTTAATTTTAAGTATAACTCTTATATAATAAGATATGTCGCGTGAATAAGCGCCTCCTTGCCAATCTTTAATTTTTTCATTATTTCTTTCTGTTCCGTCTAATGCAAATAGTAATTCTGCGGAATATTACACAGTTTTGCTTGATAGCGAAAATTATCACCGATAACACTTATACTTATGCATCACTCGTGATTTACTCGTGAAAAATAGATGTTCTCACAATCAGTATATCGCGGTCTTCACGGGTATTTCATGGATTTATTCGTAGTGCCGCACATCACGCAAAAACCCGCGCGCTCCATCGATCGCGTTCCTACACCCCGAAGAATTCCCCGCAACGCGAGAGACAGATGCGATTTCATTCATCTTCATCGACCTCTCGTGACGCGATGTCTCATTAGTCCTTCCTTGAACTCGCGTGTACCATATCATCTACGATACATACATTAAGCTTCATAAATATTGTCTCGCTATTGGATTCTTTTTCGGAACAACATGATTTACGGACATTTATACATCATTATGTCGAGTGCTTGAAGTTTCAATTCATTTAATGGTGAAAAAATTTTTATTGATCCTTTCCTTAATTTTTCATATAGAATAATCTAAACTTACTTTTTAATTCTTTTGCAGAACGATTATTAACAGTGATAATCATTTTTGAAGAAATCTGCGAAAATACTTAAAACGATCTTCCCGGATGCAACTTTTTTTAAATATATTTTTACGGGTAAATTCGATTCTTTGTTAATTCTTAAACACGGCGGTTGAAATCGGTTAATGTTAGCTCGATTTATCTCGTTCCGGCATTTTATTTCCAATTTATTATTATATTGCATACTATAAATAAGGTAACCTTTGCAGGATAGATAAATGATGAATCTCAATAGATATTCGTATAAATTTCTTTTATAGGAAGTTTATACTAATAGGTGCATCATTTGCGAGAAGTAATATTTGCGGCACTGGCGAAGATCATTATAATAGGATTAGTGATAATCACAATTCGTCATTTACTGAAAAGTTTTGTAGAGCAAAGTCTCAGAATATTTCTGATTAATTATCAAACCTAGCGGAAAACACTGTAATTTAACCCTGTACGTGACGGAGTGTTGTACCGTAATAAAACGAGCATGTGTGTACGAGGCGAAAGAGCGGCCGCGAATCGATCTTATTCCGAAACATGATATCCCGTTTGTGATCTACAAGTGCGTCACGTGTGGACCTGGAGTCGCGGCCTCGTATCACCCTTCGATAACCCCGATGCTGAAACACCCCCGTCTCGTCGTATCCAGTTACGAGCCGCACGAGTGGCGCACGTGCATATTGTTGTCCCCGGGTGCTTCACCTGACACGTGACCGAGCAAGTTTCAATTCACCGGTTCTCCGCGAATGTCGGTGCTTGACTTCGTGATGAGCGGGGTCGACGGGATCGCTTGAACTCGCCAGATTATACCCGTTGTTTTTAATTTGCCGCTTTTAATGCGTGCTCGCGAATATAATTTTGAAAATAAACGGAATCGTTAGGAACTGATAGGAATCTATTATTTTGCGAACTTGCGAGATCTGCGGATTTTCCGAATAAAAAATTTTTTAACAATTGCTTGATTTTCTTCGATCTTATTTTATTCTTTTTCCATTTTAATTTTTTTTCGGACTTATAGCTCTTCTTGTAAGCGATTCTGTTATTGGAAAAGTGAGCTTCATTCGCGTTTAAAATTTTTTTGTTTCAGAATACTGGTAAATGTGATACTCGGCAAAATGCCAACTGTATACCTTGCTGGCAAGGTTGAGTCAGATCGAACATCTATCGAGCATGTCCACAGAAAGAAGAAAAGTAGAAAATGTATGCTAAGAATCTAATATTACAAGTTGTCTTACGTCATTTTAAAAAGTACCTAGTAATATAAATAAAATTTATCGTTTTTTAATATAAATATTTTAAATATAATATATAATATTCCTTAATTTTGTTAAAAAAGAAAGATTTTTATTTATATGGTAAAATGTATAACTGAAAGGAGGAATTATATTCCTGTACTTAAAATGAGGTATATTATGACGTGTGTTTGGAGAATTGCAAATATAATTTTTAATTTGTAGAAATCGGTCGATTATGGGAAACTAAAAAGAGACAACCAGAAAATTTGCCTATTCTATTTCAATAAACTATTTCGTAGTTATCTGCATTTCCATTGTGTTTCAGGCTGAGAAATTCATATTTCTCCATGTTCTCCATTCTTGGCTTATAACAAACGCGGCCGTTACTCAGCCATTAATAGGTTTTCATTGTTTTATTCTCCAGTTTCGACGTCAGTATTTTTAATGTCGCGATAGCCGTGATAGTCGTACGTTATTCTCGG